CCCAGTGGAAGGTGATTAGCTCATGGCACGCTGTCCATGGAAGGAATTAATGTGGATTTCACAGAACGCTGGTTGGTTACCACAAGCACAGGCTATTATAAAAAGAGAAAGTCTGGACCCCACATCTCTCCAGTTTCTGTTCTCACTATGTGATCTTATCTGCATGAAGATCTACAATAGACATGCCACCCACCATGAGGCCCTCACTAGAAGCAGAACAGATCAGGCTGTCTGATCTTGAATTTTCAAGCCTCCAAACTGGGAATGAAATACACCTCTCTCCTTTATAAGGCTCTCAGCCTCATGTACTTTGTTATAGTAGCAGAAAATGAACTACTGGTGACCCAAACCAAAAATGTACCCTCTATGCCAATGTAGCTGAGGCTCTTTAATCCATGAGGTTCAGGGTCAAGCTCAGTGAGATCCATATAGGCACTTGCTGCAGAGAAAATGAAGTAAATGCAATGGATGGAGCTCTGTAATACTGTGGGAGCCAATAGAAAGAGCCAAAAACCAACTGTGTCTCATCTACATAAAAGGCAATTAAAGTACTATTTGACAGAAGTGTATAGTAAGGAACTGTGTGATGCTAGCCACAGGCAGCGTCCTGTAGTTTTCCAATATCACAGATTGGCACAGGCTCCTTTGTACACCAACCAGCAACACTCACTCTTGGAAGATCCCCCTTAGTCACATCCTCCAAGGTGACCAGAGGGCTGAAACAGATGTACGTATTCTAGTTCAGCAAAGATCACTGCACTACTGTGAAGGACAGCTGGTTATCACCAGGGACAGGAGAACCTGTGCAAAGACATGCAGACAGGGAACTCCATACTAGAGGATAGCACACCCTGTTTATTATTTGTTATGGTTTGTATTTAGATGTCCCAAAGCCTCACGCAGATGAGGTGGGACTTTCTTTTTCAGAGGTAGCTGAATCTGGAATGTGTGATGCTAGGATTAAGGGTGTGTGATACTAAACCACTATATGTGAGTGATTAGTGTGGCACTGCTGTAATCCTGGTAGTCTGAATAAAAGGGACAGAAAGATTTGTTAATCTCTTGTTATCTCTGCTACCTTGTGCATGCCATGTTGTTTCTCCTCTGCAGTGTCTGTCATCCCTGTCCTGAAGCCAGCCAACTATGGACTGAAAGAAACTTCTACATTTTAAGCCAAATAAACCCATTCCCCGCTTTCAGTGTTGGGTATTTTATCTCAGCAATGAGAGAAAAATAACTAACACACTATCCTATTTTCTAAACAAAATTATTTTGAGCCAGGTGCAGTAGCATACACCTGTGAGCCCAGCTATTCAGGACGTTGAGAAGAGAGGATCACAAGTTCAAAACCAGCTTGTGTAACTTAGCAAGACTATGTCTCAAAATAAAAAAGACTGAGGATGTAGCTCAGTGATACAGTGCTTGCCTCAAGGGCTTGGTTCTAATCCCCATTATCAAAACAATTTTAAAAAGTGTTTTTGGCACACAGCCACATGCATTAGTTTATATACCATTTATGGTTATTTCTCTACTACAACAGCCGAACTAACTAGACACAATAATAATCATACAGCTCATCAAGCTGGAAATTTTATTTTCTTCTCATATTTGCACAAATCATAACATATAAATTTTGGTTCTTTTTGTAACTCCATTGACCAATGATGGTAGAGCCTGTCCTTTGAAGCTTAGGACGATTTCCCTAAATTCCTTATTTATGACATCACAAATCTGGACTTGATCTCTTTTTTTTCTTGTTTTTTGCTTTTTGTACCAGGGATTGAACTCAGGACCTTTCGCTTGCAAGGCAGGCAGCAGAACCACTGAGCTAAATTCCTTGTTTGATCTCTTAATTTTTGTGAAACCTCTGGGATTCTTCCTGAAATGTATACATATTTTACTTCCCCAAAGGATACTGTCTAAGATCCCAAGTGGATATGACACCAGAGACAATACCAAACTTCACCCTCTAAATATCTTCTTGTACTATCTCTCCTTCCTGTTGACCCTGAGAAACTGAAACCACAGAAATATCTGACACAATGTGTTCATTGTAAGCATCTAAGTGTTTTAAACCTGTAAAAACAAAGGACTCCTAAACCAAGCATGATAGTACAAGCCTGTAAACTTAGTACTCAAGGCAAGAGGATTATCTTGAATACAAGGTTAGCCTGGGCTACAATAGAGGGTTCAAGGCCACCCTGAGTACATAGTAAGGCTCTATCTCAAAAAACAAAAATTGAGGACTCCCACTGCATCTGAGAAAACTTATGGCTTTTAAATTTCCAAATTATCTAGACCTGTGCTGTCCATCACATCTCTCCATGAGAACGCTCTGCCTAGGCTTTCCCAAAAGGGAGCCACCAGTATGTATAGCTGATGAGACTGAGATGTGCCTAAAGTGACTGATGCACTGAGTCTTTAACTTTATGGAATCCTAAATAATTTAAATTTAAATTTATACAGTCACATGTATTTTCTGTAGGAATCATAAGAGATGGCAGAGATGGGTAGGACCTTGTCTTCGAGTCAGAGGTAGGCTGCATCTCATAGCAGTTCCCTCTAGAAGTCCTACACAGATATGTCCCCAGGTCTCCCTGGGCAGCAGTGAAGCTGCTCCACACTTTGTCTCCCTTTGCTTCCTCAGTTAGAGGAGTGAGGGAGAGAGAGCAGGGCTCAGAGTATAGAGTTATTCATCCGCCACTCTAGCATCTACATCCTCATCTTCTCCCCATGACATGGGTGCCAAGGTATCAGGAGATGATCTCCCTGAAACAAGAGAGATTGAGATTAAAAGGGGGCGGTAGAAACAGCATCTGCCCAAGTTATCCCTTTTTTCTGGACTTCCAGCAGGACAGCCAAGCTAACAACATTTACACAAATTTATTTCAAATAAGCAACATAGTAGGCTCTAAGCCACTTTTCAGACAACAGCCTATGGTGATTTCTACTGGCTTCTCTCACTTTATAAAAAGATAACTTTTCTTCTTAATATTCCAAAAATTATTTCAAACACCTTCTACTTTTCCTCCACTTCCCTTTAAAAGTTGTGATTCATCTTTTTTTTTAATGACTTTATCTTGCTTTCTCCAATTACAATATATATCTGGTAAATGTAGACCTGTGCCCAGTTTTTTCAGAACTTTATATCCAGCAACCACCCCAGCGCATGATGAACTCTAAGTACTTTTTATACAGTGGGTTGACAAATTTTTAATTCAGAAGACCAAATAAATGTTTTAGCATTTATGTGCTACATGATCTGTCACTTTCACTGAACTATATGGTAGTATTGTAGGAACAGCCACAAACTACACATAAACAAGTGGGTTCCAATAAAATTTTATAAGCCAAAATTGGACTCAATTTGTCTCATAGGCCAACAACTGTTGACCCCTGCTCCCATTCTACACAAAATGTATGTCATCAAATCTCAATTCTACCACCTTCTATACACACCTCAAACTCCAACTTTTCTGATTTGATAATCATTAATCCCTGCCTACCATTATGCAAGTCCTGAACTTATTTAATGTTTTACATGGGCTCTGTGTTCATTTTTGTCCATCCTAAACTATGTTCAATCCAGGAGCAGTGTTTTGTTTAAAACACAAAAGTAGACATGTCACGTCTATCCTTAAAACAAAATATACTGTAAAGTCTACCATGACTTTCAGGGCCCTGCCCTTTTGTCCAACCTAGCTCATCCACTCCCAGCTTTATTTTCTCTAATCTAGCTTTCCATCTCTTCTCTGATGTAAGAACACACCAGGCTTTGTACTGCCTGAGGGACCCATGCATATAAAATGTTCTCTCAAATCTCATCCACACCCCTACTTTATAGCTAAAACTCTTGGTTAGCTACATAGAATTTACCCCTTAGGTTTAAACATTTGTCTCTTTTCAGATATTTTCCTTGACCTCCTCAATTTATCCTGCTCGATAGTCTGGTATCATCCTTGTCACTGTTAATGTAAAACCCCACTTTTAGCTAGAATAAAACCTCCACAGGTTACACTATTTCTATATTTAAGGGCCAGTTCATTGAAGGCATACCAATGAAAACATACCCAAAAATTAACAGCAGATCTAAGACATATGCCCACACCACACACCGAAATCTGATTTTAATTTTCCTTGAGAGTTAACTTTTTCTCATATCTCAATAGGAATGAACTTTGACTCACTATTTACAAAGACATCCCATTTATGACCAATTCAGTTTCCATTTCTAGTGCTAACAAAACTATCACCCTTTTCCTGGAGTCTCACATATTTAGAAGATCTGTGGTTCACAAGTTTGGGGTAAGAACTGGAGCCAAATTGAAAAGAACTAAGTAGTCTTACTTTTCCATGTAATAATAACATTTGTGGCCTGAGAAACATTTTTCCTAAGATAAACTCACATTGTAACAAAGAAAAAAAAGGCAAAAAAATGATGCTCATAGCAAGTAAAAGTTCACGTAAATGAAAATATGAAAAGGAAAGAAAAAAAGAACAGAAAGCGAAGCTAGCAGAGCTTAAGTTTAGGAACTTGTCGGTCACCCCCCCAAAAAAAATATTATATGGATCTAGATATATACCTATGTCAGATCACCTAGTCCATTCCTTTAATTTTAAAAATAAATCTGACAACTCAAATCAACGTGTACATGTAGACCTTGCCCTAACTTTCAAGTTGCAAAGCTAGATAATATTAAATACCATGCGAAATAAAATGGTATTATTAATAGTTATCTTGCATGAGACACAGGGCAGGGCCTCCAGAAGCACTTTTCCTGCAAATCAGGGAACACCGATGAAGACCGAGCGGGGGGCCCTGGACCGACTTTGGATGGTGCTTCCTTTCCGACAGGATAGCAGCACTGTTCGCTGGACTCAGATACTTGAGGGTTAATGAACGGCAAGGGGCGGCTGGCTGCGAGGCTGAGCTGCTCACTCCCCGTCCCAGGACCGGAAGGAGCGTAGGTCATCAGCACCTCAACTTGGGTCTGGGACGTCCATGGTGCCGATCCTCCCCTGGATTCCTTCTTCGGCCTCCCCAAAGGCCGGGCTCACCTACAGACCGGTAAAATACCCACGCCACGGAGAGTCGTCCAGTCCCACACCTACCCACCCACCCGCGCACTTCCGCTTCCGGCTTCGGGCCTCTCGGAGCGGAAGTGGCTCGGACTCCGGCTCTCGGAACCAGACGTCCGGGACTCCTGCTTGGGCAGCCTGGAAAAAAAAAGGAGCAGTTCCACTTTCAGTCTCTGAAGAGAAATTCTAGTTTCTTTCTCCAGGAATTGAGGTCACGGTGAGGTCCAAAACGGCCCGGACGGTGGAGCTGCAGCAGGGTCTACGTCTGATGGGCGGGCACGAGAACTGGGGAACTGGGGATAGGAACTGCGTTTATGCTTGAAGGGTAGCAGCTACGCTGCGCCGGACCGACGGGGTGGAGGGGTGGGGCTCCCTGTCTAGTCGGAAGTGCTTGATGGCTTAACTTTCCTTCCTTCTCATACTTTGTTCCTTTGGCTTAATCCAATGCCCTAAAAAAACATACCTGTACTTAAGGTGGTTGTTTTCCGTCTAATATGTATTAAAAATAGAAATATGTACCTTATCCTACAGCTTATGCGCATCTGTTGAAAGTAATACATGTCTCTTTTTAAAATATATGTATTATGTAAATGTATACATAACAAAAACATATATGTCCAGTTTTGCTGTCAGAGTAATGCTTCTGGGGAAAAGTTTGGCAGTGTTCTTTGCTTTTCAATTTTATGGAACAGTTTAAGGAATATTAGATCTTTCCTGAAATTCTTGTAGAATTTTAGAGTGAATATATCAGGTCCTGGACTTTGCTACGTCGAATTCTTATTATTGTCACTATTTCATTGCTGTTACTGGTCTAGTCAGAGTTTTTATGTTTTCTTTCGATTTTAGTAATTATTTGTGTCTAGGAATTTCTCCATTACTTGGAGGTTCTCAAATTTATTTGAACACAAGTTTTAAAAATAGTTTCTTATAATCCTCTGGATTTCAGCAATGTTCACTGTGAATAGGGCTTCTTTACTTTGTTAAGTTTTGACTAAGGATTTATTAATCATGTTTAGAACCTACTCTGGGTCGTTGACCCTATGTATAGTTTTCTTTTTTAATTTTAATTTTTATTGGTGTATATTTGCAGTACATAAGTATTGCATTCCTCGTGGGAATTGGTACATGTCCATAATATTTCCTAATTCTTTTTTCATTCATTTCTTTCTCCTCAATCCCCCACCCACCATCTCTGGTCCCCTTCCCTTTCACAAAAGATTTATCTCCCTGTTTCCTATCACCTAATTGTTTTATGTGCTCTTCAATTTTTTTTTTTTTTTAGCATTTTGGTTATCTTATTAAAAGAAATCATAATATAATATAATATTTAAGCTTCTTTGATTTATTTCACTTAATATTATAGCCTCAAGGTGCATCCACTTTCCTAAAAATAGCTCATATTTATCCTTCTATATATGGAAAAGTAGCACTCCATTGTGTGTCCATCTGTTGATGGTCTTATAGGCCACTTTCAAGATTTAGTGATTATGACTTGTACTTTTATAATCATTGGTACAAATGTATCGCCACTGTTATAGGATGTGTTTAACTCTTTCACAATGATACCTATAAGAGGAATAGCTGGATCGAGTGGAATTTGTTTTTGGTCTTTTGATGAATCTTGGATCTGACTTCTATAGTGTTTGTACTAGTTTACATTCCCACCAAAAATGGAGAATGGTTCCTTTTTCCCTGTAGCATAACCAGCATTTGTTGTTTGATTTTTTGTGATAATCATTGTTTTGTGTAAGTTGGAATCTCAGTGTTGTTTTAATTTTTATTTCTATAATAGCCAGAGGTGTTGAACTTTGTTTCATGTTATTTATTGGCCATTTGCACTTCTGAGAAGTATTTATTTATTTTAGCTCCCCATTTTTTGATTGGGTCTTTAATTGGGGGATGTCTGGTTTTTTTCAGTTCTTTGTATTTTGTAGATATTTGTCCTCTGAGGAATAGCTAGCAAAAACTATTTCCCATTTTGTAGGTTGTCTCTTTAATTTCTTGATTGTTTTCTTTGCTATGCAGAAGCTTTTTAATTCAATATGATCCCATTTGTTGATTCTTCATGTTACTTGTGCAACTGGTTTTTGGTTTTGGTTTTGGTTTTGGTTTGGTTTGGTTTTTTTGAGACAGGGTCTCACTATGTAGTTCAGACTGACCTGGAACTCACTATGTAGCCCAGGCTGATCTCAACTCACAGTGATCCTCCTGCCTCAGCCTCCCAAGTGCTGGGATTACAAGTGTGTGCCACCATGCCTGGCCCATGTGGTCTATTTTAAAGAAAAGCTCATGTGCTAGTGAGAAGAATGTATTTTCTGTTGTCATTGGTGGTTCACTGCAGATGTTTAAGTCCATTTGTTCAAAGGTTTGGTTCAGCTCTGCTGTTTCCTTGTTAATGTTTTCTACTTGATCTATTTGGCTTACAGGGCTTTTGAAGTCCCCTACTTTAATTGTGTTGGTGTTTATCTGATATTTTCTTTCTAGTAGTGTTTGTTTTATTAACTTAAGTGCACCAGTGATGGGTGCATAAATTGTTATAATTATTTTCTACCCTTGTTGAGTTGTTCCCAAAACCAATATGTAGTGACTCTTTTATGTCTCTAATTTGATTTGAAGTCCACTTTGTCTGAAAACAAGAAAGCTACTCCTGCTTGTTTAAATGTTCATTTGCATGTAATATTGTTTTCTATTCATGCATTTTTAGTCTGTGAATTTCTTTTTAGATTAAATGTGTTCCTACTATACAGTATGTCATTGTGTTTTTGTTTCTTGATGCATTCTGCCAATCTGTATCATTTGATTGGGGAATTGAGACCATTCATATTGGATTATTACTGAAAGATACTAATCTGTTCTTGTCAATGCATTAGCTTGCTCGTACTGACTTCCTTTTTGTTTGCCCTTTGCCTAACTGCTTGCCCTGCCTGGTACAGTCATTCTGTCAAATTTATATCCTTGAGTAATGTTTGTAGTGCTGGTTTTTTGATCATCAGTTTTTTTGTTTTGTTTTTTGTTTTGTTTTGTTTTTTGAGATGCTCATTTTATTATCCAGAAAATACCTTATTTTTCCATTTTTAAAAAATTCCCAGCCTGGGCTTTATTTACTTTTTTAATAATACATATTTGCAGTACATAATGGTTGCATTCATTTTAGGCATGGGTACATGTACATAGTACAGCTTGTTTTTTTGTTTGTTTGCTTGCTTGTTTGTTTTCCAGTACTGGGGATCAAACTCAGGACCTTATGCTTGCAAGGCAGGCACAGCATCACTGAGCTAAATCCGCGGCCCCAAGCTTGATAGTTTTTTAGCAACCTTCCCCCTCTTGCCTACCTTCCTCCCACTGCTTCCAAATCTTTTTTCCCATTTTTCATTCTTGTTATTTTAATTCCTAGCTTATGTTTATGACAAAATATTTATATTCATTGAGGTTATTAGATTCCTTACAAGGTATATCTTAATTTTGCTTACTTTCCTTAACCCTTCCCCTCTTGCCTCACCCTCATTCTCCTAGACTCCTTCCCATTTATAAGAGGTCTATCCCCTTGTTTCCTTTTATTATTGTCTTTGTACTTTGCCTTACTCAAATAAGATATCATGTGGTATTTAACCTTGTGTGATTGATTTATTTCACTCAACATTATATTTTCCAGATGTATCCATTTTCCTACAAATGTCTTGAGTGTATCCTTCTCTATAGCCAAGTGGTATTTTATTATATATAGATACCACATTTTCTTTTTCCCTTCATCTATTGATGGGTCTACCAACTGCTATCAGAATTTAGCTATTTAAGCGCTGGGGATTTAGCTCAGTGGTTCCACTGCCTGCCTTGCAACCACAAGGTCCAGAGTTTGATCCCTGGTAACAAACAAACAGAATTTAGCTATTTTGAATTTTGCTGCTATAAATATTGATATGCATGTATCATTGTAGTATGATATCCTTTGCTCTTTGGGCATGATACCTAGAAGGAGTATAGTTGGGTTACATGGAATTTCTAATTTTAGCTCTTTGAGAAATCTTCATACTAATTTCTTGGGTGGTTTTGCTATTTGCATTCCCACCAACCATGTAGGAGGGTTTATTTTTCAATACAGCCACACTAGCGTTTGTTATTCTTTGATTTCTTGATAATTACCATTCTTTCTGGAGTAACATGAAATCTTAGTGTTGTTTTAATTTTCATTTACCACAGATGTTGAACTTCTTTTGTATATTTCTTAGCCATTTGTACTTCTTCTGAGCAGTGTCTGTTTTGTTTCACTTGCCTATTTCTTAATTGGGTCTTTTTTTTTGGTACTGGGGAATCGAACTCGGGTCCTTCAGCTTGCGAGGCAGGTGGCAGAACCACTGAGCTAAATCCCTGGCCCTGTGTTTTTTACTTTAAATGGTCTCCTTTTTTTGAGTTCTTTATTCTAGATAATTATTCTCTGAGGAATAGCTAGTAAACTTTTTTCTCGTTGTGTAGGTTGTCTCTTCACTCTACTGATTGATTCTTTTGCTGTACAGGATCTTTTTAATTTTATATAATTCCATTTGTTGATTCTTGTCATTATTTCTTGTACAGTGGGTTTTGTTTAAAAATCATTTCCTGCACTTCAAGTGTTTTACTCATTTTACCTTCCAGTAGGTTCAAGGTTTCTGTTTTAGTATGTAGATCTTCAGTGCATTTTTATTTTAATTTAGTGTATGGTGAAAGGTGTGGGTCCTGCTTCAGTCTCGTGCCAACAGCTAATCCAGATTTCCCAGCACTATTTGTTGAATAAACTATCTTTCCTCTATCTTATACTTTTGACCCCTTTGTCAAAGATCAAATAGTTGTGTTTCTGTAGATGTTTCTTTATCCTCTCTTTTGTTCCATTCCATTGATCCACATCTGTTTTTGTGCCATTACCATACTGTTTTTAAGCACTGTTGATTTGTAGTATAGCATGAAGTCAGGTGATGTGATGTCTCCTGTCTTACATTATCCCTGTGTATTTATTACATTTTAAAAATTTTTTAAAATATTTTGCTTAGGACGTACTGTCTTTAATTAGAAATGCTTTACTAAGAAGTTATACTGTTAACATATATTACAAGTTTTAAACAAAAATATAACTTTTACATTATTATAAAATTATGCCACCCTGCACATGAGTAACTCATTAACTCATATCAGCATCCAAAAATCTGTCATATATAAATAAGCACCAGATGTCTATAAAGAACATGTAACAAACTTGGGATAAGAAATCCACAAAAGCCAGGCCTGGTGGCACATGCCTGTAATCCTAGCACTCGGGAGGCTGAGGCAGCAGGATTGCTGTGAGTTCGAGACCTGCCTGGGCTACACAGTGAGTTCCAGGTCAGTCTTAACTACATAGTGACCCTGTCTCTGTAGTATAGCATGAAGTCAGGTGATGTGATGTCTCCTGTCTTACATTATCCCTGTGTATTTATTACATTTTAAAAATTTTTTAAAATATTTTGCTTAGGACGTACTGTCTTTAATTAGAAATGCTTTACTAAGAAGTTATACTGTTAACATATATTACAAGTTTTAAACAAAAATATAACTTTTACATTATTATAAAATTATGCCACCCTGCACATGAGTAACTCATTAACTCATATCAGCATCCAAAAATCTGTCATATATAAATAAGCACCAGATGTCTATAAAGAACATGTAACAAACTTGGGATAAGAAATCCACAAAAGCCAGGCCTGGTGGCACATGCCTGTAATCCTAGCACTCGGGAGGCTGAGGCAGCAGGATTGCTGTGAGTTCGAGATGTGCCTGGGCTACACAGTGAGTTCCAGGTCAGTCTTAACTACATAGTGAGACCCTGTCTCAAAAACTTTTTTAAAAATCCACAAAATCTTTTGTTTTCAATTTTCCAAGGTTTTCTAGTAAAAACTAAGTGATTTTTTTTTTTTAATAGTTTTAAAAGAGCCGGGGATTTAGCTCAGTGCCACCACTCCTGCCACAAGCTCAAGGTCCTAAGTTCAAAACCTGGTACCAGAAAAAAAAAACAAAAACAAAAACAAAAACAAAACCCAGTTTTTAAGTACTCATCTTAAGCAAGAATGAAATAAAGTAAAATAATACCAGTTTATCTAGAGCAGTTACAGAGATGCAGGGAAGCCTTTCATCTGTTAGCAACCATCTCTTACAGCTATTAACAAAACAAAAATATTAACAGCAGGTAAGTCATAGGTGTTAACTATTTCATAGAAAAAGCTATTTTTAAAATATCTCAACAGAATATGAAATGAGTTGTGCTTAATAGAATACGAAATGAGTTGTCAAAAAGGAATTATCCAAGCCTTGTTTGGTTGCATACACCTATAATCCCTATACTTGGGAAGCTGTAGTAGGAAGATCACAAGTTTGATGCCAACATGGTCCACATAGTGAGTTTACCAGTGACCCAGATTGTATAGCAGGACTCTTTCAAAGAAAACAGACCATAAGGGCTCAGAATACAGCTCAGTAATAACAGTGCTTGCCTGCCGTGTACAAGGTTCTGGGTTTGATTCCTTGGTACCACCCTGTCTTTAAGAAAAGAAAAAAAGACTGACAATAAATGTGAGCATTTATTTCTGGACTCTGAATTGATTCTTTTAATTTATGTTTCTATCTTTATGAACTTTGCCTTGATTACTTTAACTTTGTAGCAAGTTTTAACATCATGAACTTTTAGTTTTCCATTATCCCAGGGTTGTTTTGTTTAAAATTTGGTTCCTATATCTTCATATGAATTATTAGGGACATTTTATCAATTTTGCAGAAAAAATCCTGCTAAAGTTTTTGAAAAGTTGTATTGAATCCATAGACTAATTTGAGGGAATATTGTCATATTTGGAATTACAGGTCTTCCACTCCATAAACATAGGGGGTGTCTCTCTCCATTTGTTTAGATATTTTTCAGTTTCTTTCAAAACTGTGTTATTTTCAGAGTGTCAGAATTTTTAAAAGCTATCTAGGGATTCAGATGCAGGTAGGGTTGACAATCCCACCTTTAGCAACCACGAGTCATCAATACCTGAAATGTTCTGAGTTACTAATGCATATACACTTATCTTACACTGTCAGGAATTCACATTCTTTCACCTGAATGAGTCACTCTTTGGGGGTTAGAATTCCTTCAGTGACTGTATTTATTGTAGAAACTGTTCCCTGCAGATGTACCTTTTACAGTAGTTTTTGTTGCCATTCAGACATTGCTGTGGTAAATAGGGACTGAGAATTGCTATTACTATCTTACCACACTCCCATCCCTCTTAACCCTCTGGCTCCTTGAAACCTATATTCTTTGAGAAAGGATGTCGCTGTAAGATAGCCAGAAGGGGAGCATTAGTGAATATCCAGGGCAGAAACTTGGTACCTGCCTCAACTTCAGTAAACTCCCAGGCCGATGTACACCTAATACACTTATCAGACACTGGAAGAACCATCAACATCTGTGTTTCCTTGTCACAAGGCCCATTCATATTACAAGACTCTGAAAGCAGAGAATCCTGGAAGAATAAAGGAATTATTTGTCCATTGGCTCTAATTTACAATTTGGTTCGACCTATGTCTTCATAAGTTATGGTAAAACATTTTCTATGAATGGAAATTTATATTGAGTATAAAAAGGCTTGCCAAGTATGTATTGTGCAGTCAAATGCTCTACAGCAGAGTGATGGCTAGTTCTTAGCTTTAAGCCTGTTCTAAGGATTGAATCAAATTTTGTCTGTGTATACACACCTGCAAATGTAGATGCTATGCCATCCGTAGCCCAGCTGATGTAGATGAGGTTTTATGTTATGCCTAAAATGTAACTGTTTGCTTCAGTTATATATCACATAAACTACAGACATTTATTTGTCCTTAGGTAGATAAGGGTTTTAATTACCAATTATTGAAATTTGGGATGATCAAAATTTTTCATATTTTTACATTAATATTTATAAAATAATATAACAGGAAATAGTAAAACAACAATTTTATCGAACGTATTCAATACAAGAATTGACTGGTTGGCATGACACCTGCCCAACTGACACTTGAGATAGTCAGTATGTAAACAAGCACCCACTTGGGGTATACTGTTAAATGGTTAACTTGTAGAAGGTAGATTGCAATTAAGTAAGCAACTAAAATTAATTATGTCGATATCATTAATCCCTTTTTAGGACATTGCCATTATGCTGAAGTTCCTGATTAGTGTTACTTGTGCTTTAATTTGGTTTTTGTTTGTTTGTTTGTTTGTTTTTGTTTTTGCTGTGAAAACCTGAAGATGGACCAGTATAAGTCCGGTATTTTGAGGAATAAGGTGTGCATTTATGATGAGCTGCCACCCAGTGTCAAAAAATGGGTAAGTGTTAAAAAAAACTTTCATTTTTATGAAATCCCTACTTTTCTGTCCCTCGATTTTTGGTGTTTTGTTAAATCTTTGCTTAGAATTATTGACTATTGCAAAAGTTGTTAGTTTTTACTCTGAATTTTAAGAGGGTGGGATAGAGGGTAAAAATAAGGTTTCCTTTTCTTTAAGGAGTGCATCTGGGCTCTGAAAAAAGGCTCGAGAAATCATGCAGAAAGGTTGGCATTTGCAAAATAAAACAACTCCTTTCCCCTGCCTTCTTTGATTTTTCTGCTTATCATCTTGGAGGAAATACTTGTCCAAGGTGCTGTGTTGGGCTAAGGGATGTATTTGGGAATGATAGTGGATTTCAGCCTTTTAACTTTGTTACATGGATGACACCATGGCAAACCACAGTGACTGATTCTGCATTAACAGTTGTGTATGAAATATTTCACTGAGGTGGGAGAGAGTGTTAGAGAAGTTTTTGGTTTTGGTTTTGGTGTATACCAGTAGCTTCAGCAGGCCTCCTCTATTGTGTGATTTGCTGGAAGCCCAGCAAGTCCCTCACCTCCCAAGTGAGTATTACTAATGTTCTTCAGAGGTATTTAGAGTGAAATTTTGTTTTTGTTAGGATACTGTTTAGAAGCAACCTTTGCTTCATGCTTGATGTATAATGTTGGCTTTTCTACTTCTATTAGAAGCATTGTATTAGGGAGGTGGAATATCATTGTATCTTACTTTCATTGTGACTTTAGACAAACAAATTCTGATATTTTTAACCAGAATGTAAAGGGGATTTGGTTAGAGAGAATGTCTAGTATTGGTGTAAAATCACTAATTCCAGTAGTCACTGGAAAGCAAATTAAGACCTTTGGGCCTTAGTTTCCTTGTCTATAAAGTCAGGCAGTATTATTTTCTCTGTTTCTCAAGACTATTCACAGATATACCTGAGAAAATGTTTGAGGCCAGTAAAAGTATAGAATAATATTCAGTACAGTGTTTGTAGTGATAAGCTTGATTAAGGTGTCTGTGTGAGAGTATCTAAAATGTAAGTACCAGTATATAACATTTGTTGCATATAAAATTGGCTTAGGCCTACCCTTTCTGCTGCAAGCTTACCATAAAAATATATTTTCTTCAAGCAGGGAGGCTGTACATGTCTTCTCCTCTTGTATACAGATGTACACAAATGAAGATAAGTCTGCATGTGCCAGGCTGCTGGGAGAGGAGAGTGCTGATAATCAGCATTAGACATATGATGAACTTGAATAGCTTTTTTTATTTTCAACTATGTGGGCATTCTTAAGTATAAGTGTAGCCCTCTTGTTTGTAGAATGTTGATACACTGGGCTCTTATTTTAGTCTAGGGAAGACTAAATAGTGTCTTCCGTGGGACAAGATGGACTTGACGTGGAAGCTCCTTGTCTGACTTTCAGATACACTTAGATCCAATAGGTCCTAACTGTGCCAGCACAACTGCAAGTGGAAAGAACTGGGAGGATAGACCACAGCATCCTAGGAGCCAGAGCAGAGTTCTGTTGGAGGAGGTAGAGTTTATGCTAGAAGTAGAGCGTGTCTCTGTCAGTCTCTGAAAGAAGGAATCCAGATTTCCAGCTCTCTGCTCTGTGTATTAGTAATCATGATCCCAACAAGACACAATTGTCTTCAACAAGGAGAACAATTATGTCCTAACTCAGTGGTTCTCCAACCTTTATCGGAAATCAGAATCCCCTGGAGATTTTGTTTCAAATCTGTAACAGTCTGAGACAGTGATGTTGATGTCCCTCAGGGGCTATGAAAACCACTCTCTGATATCAAACTTCAGCTGTCACCTTTTGAGCCAAGTCAGTGTGTGAGCTCATGTATGTATGCACAAGGCCTCGTGTTTGCATATGGCATGCCTAGACACTGTACTGGAGTAAACAGAAGGAGGTTCACAACTCAGGTGATGTCTGCTTAGGCTCAGAGGACTAAGGCATTTTGCGCCTTCCTGCACACTGGTTGACTATGGCCTGAGATACATGTGTATTGAACTAGAGTACATTTTTCACCAGGTGTAAGGAAAAATGAAGCCTAAGATGGCTACACTTTGGTTCAGGCTCGGGAACAAATCTCTAATAACTCACTCCCTTAGGGAGTTTCATAATTCATCTTTGCTAGTTTGGATTACTATTTCTGTGGGCATAGTGCAGCTGGGGAAAGTGTAAGTGTGCTTCCAAAGTGCTCATTGCCATCAGAGCAAACTTTTTCATCACACTCATTTAAACCTCTATTCAGGAGCTTAATAAATGTGGGGAATATTTGCTTTCAAATGACCAAAGGTGGAAAAACCCTTGGCGTACTCTCCAGAGGTGATTTTGAGCTTTTGGTGGGGGCCAGTGTCTGCAGAAGTAAAAATACATGAAAAAAGAAAAAATCCAGTTTCTCCACTTACTGTTGAGACCATGGTATTGTACAAAGACACTGGCCACTATAGGTGGGATAGGCAGCTTGTAAAACAGGAGATGATAACTGAGATTAACCTGTTCCTCCCACTTGTTTGAGGTGTTTCTCCATATCACTTGCCAGGAATAAAAAACTCTCAGGAGGATGGTATTCTTGGGCTCTGACCTAAACAAGACCAAGAATTACAGTCAGTTTAGTAACATTTTAAAATTTTTTAGGTACACTTACAGATCTGTAAACAGTTTTGAGTATAGTGTGCAAAAATTAAAAGTGTTTTGTCAACTAAGGACATACACTTTTAAACAAGAGTGTCTCTTGTGGACCAATGACTGTTACAATACAGCTGGTAGTCACTTAACAAAACAGTTTAGTAACTTTAGCATATTAAGACAACAATATAATGACTGTATTATACCAGAATCACATTTTCAAAATAAGGAAAATTAGGAGGGGGTGAAGGGAGGGCAGGGACAAGGGGAAAAAATGAGAACCAAGACCTGTCATGTAAAGGTACAAAATACCAATGATGAATGTAACTGTACTGTATACTTAAAATGTACCAATAAACTCAATGAGAGAAAAAAAATAAAATAAGGAAAATTACATACTAGTTTATACAGCTAGTATTGCAAAACAAGACTTTAAGTAAGATTTCAACACAGGCACAACTTTATCAGTCTTAGTGTAGGTGATTAATATCATCAAGATTGATGCTGGCCAGTGTAAATACCTTACATAACCAAGGTTATTAGTGGCATGTGTTATTTTGGGATAAGTGCAGACTGCCGTGAGATCTGGTAGGAAACTAAGCACCCGAGTACTGTTGTATGGCTTAAATTTCTAAAACATTTAATCCTAGCAAGACAGGAGAACAAAACAGATTATTTTGAAAGATTTGAAACTTTTTAAAAGTGTCATTGTAAATTCTGTTAAGAACGGATCGATATTTTAATTCTTGTTTTAAACAAAGATAACTAACATTATCTCTATGTACTTATTTTTAATTTTTGAAAACTATTTAGTACTTAATAATATAAAACTAATGTTAACTCATATTTATACTCCAAACTCTGTCATATATAAATGTAATATACTTGAGGTGGGAAAAGTACAAATTCTTTGCTTGTGGACTTTATACAAGGTATTTCTGTAAAAAAAAGAGATGATTTTAAAATGATAAAAACTACCAAGCATAGCAGTATATACCCATAATTGCAGCACTAGGGAGGAGTTCAAGGCCAGCCTGAACTACATGGCATGAACCTGTCTCAAAAATTAATTAATTAAAATGAAATGAAGTAAAAAGGCTAATTTTAAGTACTTTATTTAAACAAAGACTAGACAATAAGAGAATGGCAGTTTATTACAGAAAAGTACACAAGCTTTTTAGCATCTCTTAAAACTATTAATATTGGGCTGCGTAAACCCATTAACAACAGACCAGGTAAGTCATAGTTATTAGTACATTTTATTTTTATATATCTAATTTAATTTTTAACCATTACAACTATATTGCCCCCAAAATAACATCTAAAAAACACAAGTTATTGACTCGTGACAGGTTTTTTTTTGCTTAGGAGAAAAAAATTTATAAGCTATAATCAATACCTGGAAATTGATCTGTGTCTGTACAATGCAATTCAGAACTTTTAAGAGTTTCCCAGGGCTTTTGAATTTGATTATTTATATTGGCTCCAGTGATTTAAATTTTTATGTCACCAAAAGCAAACAATTTTAGATAATAAGGATGCCCATGAGTGAATTTAAATGGAAGACCATAAAAGAAACTTTACTAGTCATGGGCATTTAAAATGACAAAGCTCATCTGGGTGTGGTGGTGCACACCTGTAATCCCAGCACTTGGGAAGCTGAGGCAGGAGTTTGAGACCAACCTGGGCTACATAGTGAGTTCCAGGTTAGTCTCAACTAAATAGTGAGACCCTGTCTCAAAAAAATAAAATAAAACCACAAAGCTCAGAAGACCTTAAAAAAATTCAAGAATTGCAAGGAGAAATATTTGTGCCATATAAGCACCTCCTAGCTTTGTCTTTCTAGAGTTATGGAAGCTATTACCCATGTAAACATGGACTCAGCTTATTTATGAAATTAGAAATTATAGCATGACCAGACGATATTTACTTATACATGAGTTAATATATAAGACAAAACTATTCTTTCTCAGACTTAGCAAGACAGATCACAAATGAACTTTTATTAGATAATAGCTAATAAGCAGAAACTTAATTTACTCCCATTTCTCTACTCTGATAAACCACAGGGTATGTCTACTATCTAACTCAATTTCTGCAGAGTAGAATAAACAAATAGAAGCTGTCAGTCTTGTTGAGCCACTCTTGTTTAAGAAAAGAGTCTGGAGAACATTTCACAACTGATCAGCCCTGAAACTGATTCAGTCATGACATATAGACCATCATGGGAATGGAGAATAGGCAGACCTGGGCCTTTGCCTGCTACTCATTGAAAGCATGATTTGCATTTTTTTAATCAGATATTTAAATATCTAACATTGCCTCTTAGGACCCTTTCCACTAGTACTAAAAGTAGCC